AATATGTAAAATGTAAATTAAAGCTTTAAAGATAAGTTTCAACGCAACATTGCAAATTAGCTATGTTTGTATAACGCAAATGACGTCTCGTCGAAATATATGCAGGGCCTTTCAATACCATTTTTACGGAGTTACAAAAGTTGCACAGGCATGTGATACATATTTTATTAGTATGAAGTTAAATAAACAAATGCATTTTTGACTATGCATACTTTCCATAGTATAATGTCATTTTCAAGAAATTGAAAAACAATATTAAAATTACTCACACTTGATCAATAAAACACTGATTCAGAGCAGTCACTGCAGAAATGTGGTACCCAGTTGTTAGAAAAATAAAAAAATACATTTTATACCAAGTTTTCTAAAGTGTCATGATACAGGATTTCAAATAAAATATAATAGTCCTTCTTAAACTGTTAAATATTACGTTAGGTAATATCAGGCTTGCAAACATATCGTTTGCAATAAAATCATGTTTTACCTACTTTGAAACTTGAAATAACAAGCAAATATTCCACACGGTGGAAATAATTCAATTGACTTTATTTGATTCTTAAACATTATTAAATAATACAATCAATAGAAAGTTACTGTCCTTTGCAAAAAGATGACATCGATATTCAAGAACACAATGGTAACAATTGAATTCAAATTAACATCTTAGGTATGAGAATATATGTCCTTGGCATATCTTGATTTGTTTAGTATTTCAAACAAGTAATAGCTTTTAGAAAACACGTAACAATATGACTTTTCACCGAATATCTATACCAAATGGTAAGCGTATCTTTGATGTGCAGACGTTAAGAAAAATTTGAAATGCCTTGTATTTTCATTGCAGATAAGGTCCAAGGTGTGGGTCTAAATCCTGGAGGAAAGTCGTTATCACAAGCTTGTACATTATTTATTTTTTGTAATAAAGCTTATTTTAATAAAACACACGAAAGCTGCGCCGTGAACTGCCAGCAGAAATAATTTCCAGGTTTCCTCCATGGAGCAAGAATTATGAACATAGTCAAGAGATTTGTCGTGAAGTTTTAGGCCAGATGTTGGCAAGCTGTAAGTGTCAATGTCCGATATAGGTGACTCGGTCAAAGGTCTTGATTAAAAACAAGTTCAATAAACGATTTTAGTACATTTATTCAAGAACTGCCACTTATTAAGGTCAATTGGTCTATAATTGAAGGTTTGTAACATGATAAATATTTCTGCTGATAGTATTTAGTATCAGACATAACAACAAACCTCGAAAGCATTATTGGCAGGTGTGAGATACATTATCCGATATAACATATATTTATATAGCAGATGATAAAATTAGGAAATATATATCAATTCTGAGTGCATTGTTGTAGAATAATGCACGGTTTGAGTTCAAATGCGTAGTAATATAATCACGAAGGCCGATAGGCCTGAGTGATTAATTACAAAGCATTTGAACGAAAAACGTGCATTATTATACAACAATGCACGAAGAATTAATATCTATTTCCATTCTAACACCTAAAGAAAAATATAATTAATATTATAAAGTTGGACTTTATGTTTGATGGTTAAATTTGCTTTCGCATCAGAGTTTCCAATAGAAACGTTCTTTAATGGCTGTTCCAGTGGGTTGAAAAAAAATGTCGTTAAATCTACTGTGTGTAGAAACATTTTGAGAATAATGAATTTTGAAAACGTTAATAAAACTTTGTTTGTTTATTTTATTTCACTCTATAATTTTTAAAGCGAAATACAAATTATTGAAAGTGAAATAAATGTAAAACTTAACTCGTTTGCGACATTGAAATAGCGTACTTGATTTGATTGTTTTGCACGTGCTGTTTGGCGCTACATTGTGACGTCACGTAAACAACACTTTAAACGTCTGTACAGCGTTAACGACTGAATTAAAGATATTTGTGTTCGGATTCATTTTCTTAGTAAGACCATTTTTTTCATTCTAGATAGTTTTCACAACAAAATTCGACAAAAAATTGTTTTTTATTTATCAGATTTTTCAAACAAAATGGCGCCCTCAATGTGAAAATACACAGGGAGATAATAAGAACGGCGAGTGCATTGTTGTAGAATAATGCACGCTTCGGGCCTTCTTTGTTTATATAGAAAAATTTCCGATAGTGTTAGAATATATTATATAGCAGATAATACTTTTACTAGAACAAAATAGTCATCATATTTCTGTTCATCCTAAATAACTAAGACATTTATCAACAATTGTTACGGCAATATTTTAGGAATATCCAAATGATACGTTTCCATTGTTTTATCAGTATTTGAAATACTTAAAATGTGCACACTTATCAACTTCAAGACATCACAAACGTCACCAGGCGTCAGGGATGGCCAGTAAATGAGTTATGTGAATACTCACGTACATACGGTATTCTGATGCATGGACCAATTGTCAAATATTGGTAAGTTCCAGCGTTTGGGAAAGTGTGTGGTATGCTTTTTGCAACCATAGATTTATTCTTTTTTTCGGATCCTTATAAAGCGGGTGAATCTCAGTAAGATTGTATAGCTTAAATTATAGTATAATTTTTAAGTACAAATTGTTACTGTTATGTAATAGAATTGTCAAAGTCATGGAACAGGTTTTCACAGGTTTTTATTTTAAAATTCTATATATTAACAAGAAACGTTTAACAGCAACAATAATGTGTAATTTAACCTTTTCCCAAAGACAATTAAATGTTTAATTTTCTCTTTAAAGAACATTATACAATGCAATCAAATGTATAAACATTGTTTAAAACTTGCGTAAACAATTAATAATATTACATATCATTCATAACATCATACATGTATTTTTATTATTTTGTTTTAAAATAAATAGTGTAATACAATATAAATACATAAGCAAAAGTGTTAAGCACTCCGATGATATATTTATTTCAAAAAGTATTTGGATTGTCTATTTAAAGTTTTGTATCTATACAATATCATACAATATAATAAACAATTTTCTGTTTGCTTCAATGACATCTGTATGGACATGTGCATTTCATTCAAAGAAATAATGACATATTCCGAGAAAAGGGTGGTAAATTGAACGTTTCTTGTTAATATATAGAATTTTCTGTTGCTTTTGAAAAACTAGACAGTATTCTTTAATTTTAGTGTTGACGCTGTGGACATATTTGAGTGTCATAAAACATAACGGAAGTGAAACATCAATGGCACTGTATGGATCACACATTATGTTTCTGATTTCTTAATTTACCATTTTAATACTCCACTAAAGCCGTTGCTAGGGTCATTTGCGGGAGCATGCATTAAATATTGTGGCTCATTAATACACACAATTTGAATATTACATGCTCAATCAGACTATGCCTGTTCATGGACAACATTATATAATCCACCGTTGACGTCTCCAATGATATATCGCACTTCAAAAGTCTGAACTATGTTTAATTTGGCAAGACAATATAAGACAATCTTATAGTATTTCCCAATTTTTCACTCTTTCGTAAACTGCTATTGACATTATAATCATGCTTTGTTTTCATTTCTGTACATTTGCCTAGATTTATATCCATTTTTTCGTGTTTATAATTAGATTTAAAAAATAATCAAAATCTTACATCTATTCAATTTTGTTTTCAGTGTTTAATACGTTGCGTCTTTGGATTCCCATTCATCCTTACATTATCAACAAATCTCTATATATAACAATTAACATTTTGTATTTTATTAAATGTATTAAGTTCAACAAGCGAATATAAATGAAAACAAATGTTCAGACACAAAATAAGAAAATTGTATGCTTGTCCACAGATGTTTTTGTACAAAATTATGTTGTTGAAAAATAAGGAAGATGTAAATGAAATGTATAAATAAATCTTCCTGATGTTAATTATAATGATGCTAATACATTCCTGTAAATACCTGTTCCTGTATATTATGTGTATTATTATCTTTGTGAAATTATGCACATTACCCACAATTACAATTACAGCCGAGATAGCAAATTTCATTTTCTTATGCAATAACAGCCACTGTACCTAGTTGCTGATTGTGATACGTATCTATGGACTAAATGCATATTTTTAGTAACTTTTCTGTCAAAAAAAGTCTGTGGAAGATGTTGGCATTATGGTTACAAATTATATTAATACGATTATACTTGAAGCATTTAATATGATGTAGAAAAAGCATCTTCTTTGAAATCTTCGGATGGTAATTGTCTGTTACTGAATGCCTTCAGCACTATCTAAAATATATCAAGTGCATACTGATTGACAAGTGAGTGATGTTTTCAGCAGATTTTCATAGCGTCTTTGTTTCTGATTCTGTGGTATATTTGCAGCGACCGGCATTGTGATTTGTGAACAAAAATGAAATACTTACAATGAACGTTGTACGTCAGACATCAGCATAAACTTAAAAGACAAGGGGTCCCTTTCTTCAACTAAATAAACATGAAATGTACGTTATAAATTGATTCATGTAATTGTTGATTTACACCCCCCCCCATTTTAGATACTTCTCACCATCCAGTTTTTACAGTTCATAATCAAGCTCCGCATTTTTCTAAGCATGTCTCATAAACAGTATAACACACAAAATCATGTGTTCTTTTATGTAAACAAGAACAACCAATGACTTTACATCATTCCAGTGCAGCAAGCTAATAGCTACTAAAGCATTTTGCATGCAGCCGTTAACACTGGAAATGTCTATTTCTATTCAGAAGTAAAGTGTGTAAATAGAGAAACAGATACCATTAATCGAAGCAAAACAGATGTACTTGGGAGGAGAGAATACTGGAAGTACATAGCATCGAATTCAATAACAATTTCAAAGAAATAACCCTTGCCGCTTTTTCTTTAAACATTTTGAATACAAAAGATGTAAAGGGAACGAATTTCTGTTTTTCAAGCTGTCATTCAAAGTCTATGTTGAAATAATTGACTGCATGCGTATTAACACAAAAACCCTATGATATTGATATTCTGTTTTATTTCTACTTTAAAGTCTCCACAGAATGGGCTGCGTTTCATGGAGAGTCCTAAGTCTTAAGTTTGTCTTAAGATAAAAATTGTGACAATTTTGCGTTTCAAAGAAAGTCTTAAAAAAGGTCCTAACTTATGACTCCTATACTTATGACCAAAAACAGTCCTAAGTCTAGGAGTGTTTTAAAGGTATCTTAAGATTGTCCTAAGTCAAAACCACTCCAAAATCAAACAACTTTTTGTTGAATTTTGTTTTGAAAACTATCTAGAATGATAGATAATGGTCTAACTAAGAAAATAAATCCGAACACCAATATCTTTAATTCAGTCATTAACGCTGTACAGACGTTTAAAGAGTTGTTTACATGACGTCACAATGTAGCGCCAAATATCGCGTGCAAAACAAGACGCATCTATAAATAATAATATTACTGCGCGCTGTACAATTGCAGTTGCGTAGCAAGCAAGGGGGTTCGTAACCATTTTTTTACTATGAAATTAAATAAAACGGTTATTTTATCGTTTTTCGTGAAATATGGTATATATTTTCACTCAACATGATAAGAGGGCAATACATTACTTTTTATACTTGCTATAATCAATTACATAGTAAATCCAATCCGGGATTATGCGCGTGCCATTGTATTTTGTAACTTTTTTCAGGAGAGCGAATTGGTCATAAGTCTTAAGTTTAAGACAAAAGATATGACAGTTCCTTGAAACGGTCTTAAGTGCAAAAACATTTTCTCCTAAAGTTGGTCATAAGTCCTAGGATTTAGGATTAACTTAGGACTCTCCATGAAACGCAGCCCTGTATCTCAAGTTATTAGAAATATTAAGATTTGATATACATGTATGATATTCCTATATTAGTTAAAAAATTAGCTTCATGTAAATTATTTTATATTGATGTCCTCTATACAAGTTATATAATATTTATGCTTCATATCAGCGTGATGTATTTACATTATATGATTTATAACTTTGCCTTGATCAAGTTTAATGTGTTTTATTGTAAATACAATTAAATTTGTCTACTATAGATGTTTAATGTTACCTTTGAAATATGAGGCAGTATTAGTCAAATAAACTCTATATTTGTAAGAAACGAATATGAAATACAAATTTGAAAATGGAAGGAATCAAACTTCACATATTTTAAGGGGCTATTTTTTCAGATGCTTTCATTTATTTCTTTCATCATCGCAATTTAAACAAAAATTCAGGTTATGTTTTCTAAATACATTTCATGACGGCAGCGATAAATTGAGTTTGCGTATTAATCCGCGCCATGTTACTAAAATAAATAAACAATTTATAACTGCGCGCAGTAAATGTAGGTGCATATTTCGTAGAAATGTTGTTTCTTTAACTATGGATAAATTTAGGTCCCTCATTCTAGCTGTTTTAAGTGCTGATAATAGATTTTTTCGTTCACGTGATTTTCTGGCCTCAACATTAACAAGTTTAACACGTGCATTGACAAAATTATTTCCATCATTATAACTTTAAATAATTTATTAATTCGATATCTCTTAAACATGAGCGAAAAACATTGATATATATTCAGAATTGAGACAACATTTTCAACAGACTAGTGTTGTAAAGACAATACTGAAGAAAATAAATATTTTAGAGTGTTTTTCTAAAGATATGTGTCATTAACAACAATTGACACATAAATCACAAAGACATAATTTTCTGACATTGATATGCGTACCTATAAAGTTAATTTCACGTGTATGTAACAAATGTATTTCTAGAAATTTACTTATTGATGAGAAATATTAGCAACGTACCGACCGTGATACCTCGTGGTATAGAATGAAGGAAGAGGATATGAGGGTCAAAACGGCACCTAATATGACCAAAAGAGCCGGAAACAGCAGTAACTACGGCCTTACATAAAGCAAGAAATCATTGTAACATATTCTTTATTCTACACTCGTTCTTGTAACATGAAACATCATGCAGTATCCTGTAAGCAAATTGTATCGAGCTTTACACCGATAGAAACAAGTAAAATATGAGTTCAGGAAGCTCATGGTAGTGTTTAATAAGGGCCGGCAAATAGAAATATTATAAAGCTTTTTGATGCATACACCAAAGGACATTCGCAATATATGGATAACAGCGTTCCTTGATGTGCTTGATTGTGACTTCGTGCTATGAAACACTTGGAGAGAAACATTAATTTATCTTTCCTACAATAACATTTCTCTTTTCTTTCCCTATAGCCAGTGTTGTCTTAGAAGAAGCTCCGTTCATGTTGTTTATGTACAATGGTTCTCTTAGTTTATACATTCTTTATCATATTTTCTTGTCCTGAAGTGAATTTCAAAATTGAGTATGGCTTCCGAGGAACGACACTTTCATCAACATAGATAAGATCTGGTTCTTATAATTTAGGTCTGTTTGTTGTCAATGAATTGTCTTTATTAAACTGACATTTATTTAATAGTTTATATTTGATGTTGTATCTTCTGTATATAAAAATGTAAAATCGCGCCAAGGAAAAGGTTGCTTCAATATGTAGCTTGAATTATACAAATCTTTTCATCTCCATAACTAATTTAGTTCATATAAATGATCGACAAGATGTCCATCATTTGATAAAATTATTTAGTGATGATTTAGATATTGCATTCAAGAAAACACCTATCATAAAGGCGATGTGCGTAGTTAAGAAGATTTTTTAAGTTTATTTATTTCTATCAGCAAAAGGACAATACAAAAAAAAATAAACAAATTGTCTTTCATAATGTTATTTCTGAATATCTTGAAGCTTTGTTACACCATACAGCTGTACTCGTACTTCAATAAAACACATTGACAGCAAATAAATCAACCTTTGGATAAACCGACTTTCCGAATGTCAGCTGAACGATACGAAAAGCGTATTAGAAAAAGTGACTTATATCAATTTATTCTTCTCACAACACCTTTCACATTTAATCAACGTGATAGACATATTTAAAAGCTGTAATTGCCGCACCAATTTGATATTTGTGTAAACCCCTAAACAGTTAAAGACTTGTAAATATCAAACGGACATTGAAGCAGAGTATATTGCATTATTTATATTGGAGTCTTGTAGATCTGTAATAATCTGTTCTAGTTATTATGATATTTCATAAAAATCAATTTTGTTGAAGAGAATACAATGCTTTTACACTCGAATACAAACATCATATGCCTTATAGGATCGTTTGTTGTATTTGTACTTTAATCTGATTCTGACAAATAATGTTTACATTTCCTTGTAAGACTTGGTCCGAAAAAACTTGATGCAAATAGCTATACTTATCATCTGAAGAAAGAAAACTTCACATGTTTGAAAGTACCATTTTTGAAACAACAAAAATATATTTATCATATCTTTTACTTAAGTAGAGACCAGAAAGGTGAAATTTCTTCTCTTTTGTACATTTAATGTCGTGCAACGTGTTGGCTTGAATTATTTCCTTACTGTAATATCTCTTACTGTGATAATTGTGAATTAACATTAATGTGTCAGTTCAAACATGAAACATTGCAAGTGCTTTTCAGATATCGAAATTGCACTTAAAAAAGTATTAAACATATCAGCATTCTCATTGGAATGATTATTATACATGATCATAGTAAAAGTATAAAATTGATTGAATGATAATATTTATCAACACAGCGTTCAGCGACAAACGAATTTAGATATGGAAAACGTAATTAAATTAACACGGGAAAAAGCCACAACTCAAGACTATATGCATTTATGAAAATCGCACTAGGCAATATAACCGCATTGCGATACAGATTTCAATAATGAATAATACAAGGAAATGTAAGCATAATTTGTCAGGATCAGATTAAAGTACAAATACAACAAACGATCCTATAAGGCATATGATGTTATCATTCGAGTGTAAAAGCATTGTACTCTCTTCAACAAAATTGATTTTTATGAAAAATCATAATAGCTATAACAGATTATTACAGATCTATAAAATTTCAATATAAATAATGCAATATCCTCTGTTTCAATGTCCGTTTGATATTGACAAGTCTTTAACTGTTCAGGGGTTTTCAAAAATATCAAATTGGTGCGGCAATTACAGCTTTTAAATATGTCTATCACGTTGATAAGATGAGAAAAGTGCTTTGTGATGTGAGAAGAATAAATTGATATAAGTCATTTTTTTCTAATACGCTTTTCGTATCGTTCAGCTGACATTCGCAAAGTGGGTTTATCCAAAGGTTGATTTATTTGCTGTCAATGTGCTTAATTGAAGTACGAGTACATCTGTATGGTGATAAAAAGCTTCAAGATATTCAGAAATAACATTCTAAAAGACAATTAGTTTATTTTTTATCTTTTATGTTTTCGTATTTTCCTTTTGCTGAGAGAAATAATAAACTTACAAACATTTTCTTAATTACGCACATTGCCTTTATGATAGGTGTTTTCTTGTATGCAATATTTAAATCATCACTAAATAATTTCATCAAATGAAGGACATCTTGTTGATCAATTATATGAACTGAATTAGTTATGGAGATGAAAAGGTTTGTATAATTCAATCTACATATTGAAGCAACCTTTTCCTTGGCGCGAGTTTACATTTTTATATACAGAAGATACTACATCAAATATAAACTATTAAATGAATGTCAGTTTAATTAGAGACAATTCATTGAAAACAGACAGAGCAAAATTATGAAAACCAGATCTTATCTATGTTGATGAAAGTGTCGTTCCTCGGAAGCCATACTCAATTTTGAAATTCACTTCAGGACAAGAAAATATGATAAAGAATGTATAAACTAAGAGAACCATTGTACATAAACAACATGAACGGATCTTCTTCTAAGACAACACTGGCTATAGGGAAAGAAAAGAGAAATGTTATTGTAGGAAAGATAAGGTGTATTATTAAAAATACACATTTATAAAAAATCTGCACAAAACATTATTTTAAGCATTCTTCCTAAAAGTTGTAAGTCATAGATTTAGATTCACATTATGACATTTTAAGCTGGTAAATAATTGTCAAAAAGATATTCTGACTGACAAATTATAGACAAACATGTAATGTGGCGAAATATGTTTCGCTTTCTTTGTAAATTAAAAATTAAAGTACAAATAAAGTGTGGATTACATTACACATGGTATAAAACATATTTTGTTTATTTACGTTTTTTAAGTTTGGTTTCAACAAAACAATTTAGGTTATATGGCGCCGAATCCTCGGGTGTAACAAACTTAAAGCAACACTAAGGCTCAAACAACCTCACCTGCAATATGTTAAGAGATGCTTGGACTAGTATAATAAAATGATATATTTTCAGAAAATGTATCTATAAAAAATTCTAGAAAAGTGATGATCACCCTGAAGCAATGAAATCAACAAAATTAAATGAAAATATTTAAGGCTCGATTTGATGGAATCTGTTTATGAAGGGCAATGGGAAAAGTGGCAACATCTCTCACGCACCACAGCACCAGCTTAGGCGGTATTCGATCTCCAACTCAATAAGCTAGAATCAGTGATTCTAATGGACTACAAAAAAAAGAGTAAAACTAAAGTGGAAAGCAAACTTGCGACATACATAATGAAAATAATTTAAAATGTGTATACATATTATTAATTCTGTATGACTGTTGGAACTGACCTTTATTTGTATT